ATGCATGTGAGGGCGTTCCTGCGTTAGCGTTTGTTAGCTCCTCGTGTCCACCATGTTGCGATCGGATGATTCTATTCCCACCGAAGACGTACTATTGCTCGTGTGGAGAGGCCTCAGAGTGCACGTCTGGAGCAATCGATTGTCCCGGCGCCTCGCCACCACACCCGCCCTCATCATCCACGCAGAAGCATGTGGACAGGGCGCCTTGTCTCTGATTCATCGCCGGCCTGAATAGTGAATTTTTCGTTGGATACGGGAAGTTCGTCACCTCTCGAATGGTTGTTAGTTAGGTCTAAGTAGGAGTACCTTTTGACACGCCACGCCTCCGTCCGTCCCTCATCCTCATCCCAGTCTTCTACCTCCTTTCTGTTGAACATTTGGTCAATTTACGACTTATATTAATCCATAAGACGTCTTAAGACTCACTATTTAAGTTGAGAACCATTTTAGTGAACCACCACCATTGTGGATAGTATTTCACTTTTCAACCAAACAATAATTGTGGCGCTAACTTTAAGTTTATTTGATTAAATAGAATAAATAATTATACCCTAGGGTGCATGCAAATGAATCTAACAGCTTTCCAGCTGTTAGCGTTGTTAGCAAAGCATTTTGGGCCACGTATCGATCGGATGATTCTATTCCCACTGATGACGTACTATTGCTTTGATGATGATTTGGCTATAATGTGTGCACCGTTAGATCCGTAGTGTCACAAGCTCTAGCTAGAACTAGAACACACAAGAACATGAACGAACTAGTGTGCTGCTCATTCCTTCGTTTGATGAGTTAGCCATTGCAACTCTCTGGCGATCCGTGACTGCTTAAAGCAGGCAAGAACACAATAGAGATTAGGTGTGAAAAACTCTACTACAACAACTTGCTTGATTGGTGACTTAGAGTAGAGTTTATTTGATGGCCTGGGGTACGATGAAATCTACAGCGGTGACCTAGTCAACATGCAGGCGCTTCGTGTGTTGTTTCCACCGGACGCGTGACGTGGGTCCACGCAAGCGGCACCGTCGCCGTCGGCAGCTCGGGCATAAGCCTCCTAGCCAGCACCGCAATTTGGGTTTATCAGTGTCGATCCAACGTAATAATAATGTAGGTTTCAGTACACTAGGGTGGGTCTAAGCATCCATGTGTAATACAAAGACGTGCAAACCTTTTGCGTGATTGAGAAAAAAAAGATGGTCCGGGTGCCTTCCTTGGGCTTCCTTTAGCCAATATTGATGCTTGCTACAGGTCTATCCTTGCCCCTGATCAAAGCACATGACAGACCTCTGAAATTGCACTATATTTCCTTTGAGTTGCATAACACAGGAGGTCTTCCTCCTAACTTGAATCTAAGGAGAGTTAGATCGTAGCTTTTCTTTACAAGGTGTATCGGTGTGTGGTTGGTCAGATAGTTCAAAATAGGCGGTAAGCTTGATTATAAACCGAATTATTTAGATCAGGCAAAGCTTAAGCTCCATCTGATCCACAGGATAACGATGAGACTTGTAGTTGTAGCACCTTTATTATCTCAACAAACATGACGTAGAAGTATTTACTCGTACTAGTACAAAAAAGTCGTGTGTGGCGGGCATGACGCCTGACGACGATGACACAAACAGCATATCCTCCATCTACGATCGAGCAAGAGAGATTGCAAGAAAGATCGAGTGGCCGAGCTAGGACAAGGAGATACGTAAGACGAGGGAGATTCTTGGTGGCGACAGCACACACAACAATTCCAAGGGAAATCAAACAGTGGAGGCTGCAGGAGTCCTCACATGCATGCACGACCTGTGTACCAGCACAGCACCCAGCAGCAGTACCACAAAAGCTGACTAGGTAGTGCGACCAGATTACCCCGGCGACCGCCACCGCACCCGTCCTCATCATCCACGTCTGCGTGTGGACACACGCCTTGTCTCTGTTCATCAGCCTGAACAGCACATCGTTATTCTCGTTTCACTTTCACGGTGGATCATCGTTCTCTGAATGGGGTTGTTTATTTGTTTGTTGCCTTTGATACGCCTCGTTCCGTCGTCCGGCGGGAACCACCTCCTTTCCGAGATTTTGCTAGCAATAGCAAGCACAGGCCACAGGATGATTCCATATTCCCCCACTGGACTATCGCTTGGCTTACGCACGTTGTTCTTCCTTTTGTATGCTTGTCTCGTCTCGTCTAATTAGCTTCTTATTAATTCCCATTTATTTCTCTTTAACTAATTTCCGTATGTGATGATGAGATAGGAAAACGAAGGGAACTACAACCACAACTTTTTTTTTATAGAAACAACTACAACTTTTTTTTTTTGAGAAACAACCCTCCCTCGTCTTTGTTCGTCAGAAATTATATTACAAACTCATCGGGAGGAGAGAGGAACTCCACCTTGATAAGCTAACCGAACTTCTAACTAACAAATAAGCTTCATGATTCAACTGCCTTCCTTCGTGAACAAACTCCACCTTGCTAAAGCTTTCTCTTCTTGACTTTTTGATAAAGGAAATATTCACGGCCAAGTTCTTACAAAATTAAAGTTTTTGGCTTATCAGTTGATTACAATCGGAGGGATAGCAGGGCACAAAAAAAAAGTAGGGAAAATCAAAAACAAATTCTATTACAGAAATGTTATACAAGACACGTGTGTTTTATCACCAAAAAATAAATGGATTTTAGTCTACCGGATCGTTGTCTCGGTTTGTCTGCGTTCGTCAGATCTGCGTCCGTCAAGCAGTGCGCTTTCTTATGACGAACGACCCATGACGCGACGCGACGACCCATGACGCGACACCAGCAATGCACCAGCAGCACAGCACCAGCACTGGCCAGGGGACCATGACGCGACGACCCACGATGAACGGGCAGACAATGGAACCAACCCCTCTGTATTTTGTCCTTCCATAGAAAAAAAATGTTTTCTGTGATGTATGATTTGTGATATGTGGATCTGTGATCTTGTGATTGTCTTAAGGTAGAAGAAGGCTAGAGGTAGAAGAAGGATGGAGGCTGTTGGATCTTAATCTTATGGTGTAAAAGAATTCATGTGTTGAAATTGTATAAAACACGTGGTTATGCAGTAGACAGACTTATTCTATTATTGTTTGTCCATTGATTTTTGGCGAAAATATCCAAAGCAACGACCTCCAAAGCTTTGCTTACCGATCGGATGGTGTCCCTTGTATCCTCACCCTGCAGCCATGTCCAAAGCCATCACCTTGATACTTCTCACCACGTTTGCGCAGTCAGTTGCCAATCTCATGGACTACAACCCAAGATCACTAGGAAACGATAGCTCTTCTCGGCATGCTATTGCTTCGGCCACCTCAACTGCTTCGTCTATGCCTTTTAGAACAAGGGCTGAGGCTCCTAGAAAATTGCCCATCTCCTCCCTGGCCACAGCTGCAGCCGATGCAGTCCTTGTGTTCGGATATTCATATTGCTGTGTCGACATCGATCTTCATTAGAGCACTAGGCGGAGAAACAACTACAACAACCAGGGTTCAAAATTTCAATGAAATTTCACGAATTTCGGTGGTGGCTGAAAGAAAAATCCAAAATTTTAATATGTTAATACATGTGCTATATAACTCTAGACTCATATTACTATTGCTTATGTTGCATATTATTCTATTCAATAGATGTTCAGTCATAAATCATGTTAATATTTGTTTTATATCTAAATTTATTTATACTTCATGTGCTAGTTTCTAAAAAAAATCAGCAAAATTTCGCCAAATTTCACGAAATCCGGTAATTTTGATGGGGCCAAAATTTTTGCAACACCGAAATTAAAAACCCTAACAACTTTTTTTTGAGCAAAAACCCTGACAACGGGTCCCTCCCCAATCCCCGGCCTGCCCATGCCCGTGCCTCTGTCATTTCCATTGATGGCCTAGCCTGGCCCATTTTGAGATCAATTCAATTCAACCAGCCCACGCCCATCGCAAACAAAATTCCTCTGAAAAAAGTCCACATTACCTTCCTCAACTTTCGCGAAAATCCACTTTTCCTCTCTGAACTTCAAAACCGAACAAAACACCTCGCTGAACTTTCAAAACCGTTCATCTTACCTCCCTGACCCTGTTATAAGCAGTTTTGAAGGCGGTTTTGTCTTTTTCTTTTTTATTTATTTTGGCTGAATCTTTAAAAAATCATAGTAAATCACAGAAAAATCATAAAATAGAAAATCCAATTTTGTTGGACTCCACATGCATGGATCTACACAGTGAACATATAATATGGTATGCTTTAATACAAAGTTTTTCCTGTGTCTTTAGATCTATGCTTTTCTGTAATTAATTGGAATAATTCATGTCTGCAGTTTTTCTATGGTCCAATTGTGATAAAATTTTTATGATGGACCAATTATTGTATGATTCAACTGTAGTAAAAATTTCATACTCATTGGATCATGTATAGCTTAGTTATAGATTTATTTATATTTAACAAGCATAAACCTAAATAAAATCTATAACTAAGTTATACATGATCCAATGAGTATGAAATTTTTACTACAGTTTAAGTATACAATAATTAGTCCACCATAAAAATTTCACCATAACTGGACCATAGAAACTACATCTATAAATTATTCCATTTAATTATAAAAATCATAGATTTAAAGTTACAATAAAAACTTTATACTAAAGCATACCATATTATATGTTCACTGTGTATATCTACTCATGTGGAGTCCAACAAAATTTGATTTGCCATTTTATGATTTTTCTGTGATTTACTATGATTTTTCAAAACTTCAGCCAAAATAAATAAAAAAGAAAAAAACAAAACCGTCTTCAAAGCTGTTTACGAAGGTCGGACGGTTTAAAAAGTTGAGAGAGACGTTTTATCCGGTTTAAAGTTCAGACAGAGAAAACGACTTTTTGTCAAGGTTGAGGAGGTAATACGGATTTTTTTCCGATTCCTCCCCATTCACGTGCTATCCAGCTCCGGCGACGGCGAGCGTTTTTCATTTCGAAATAAATAAAACCAAATCAAAAAACGGGCGATGCCGCCGGCGATGGCGGAGCAGGATGGAAACGCCGCGACGCCCTCCGCGCTCGCTCTCTTCGCCTCCCGCCTCTCCTATCGCAGGTACTACGCCGCGGCCGCGCGCCTGCCCCAACCCACCTGCCGCACCCAACCGCGCGACCTTTTCGCTCACCTTTCGACCTCCCTCCCGCCGCCCCTGACTCGGTGCGAGTGCGCTGCAGGTTCGAGGACGAGGACCTCCGGGTGCTGGAGGCCGCGCTGTCCGCCGGCGCTGACGTCCCCGCGCTGCTCGCCACGCGCTCGGCGGCCCGGAGTCTGCTGCAAGCAAGCGCGGCGGAGGCGTTCGCGTTCACCGCGACGGGTTCAGTGCTGGATGGTGGGACCAGCCTCGCCGTCGCCGACTTCTTCGCACGCGCCTTCGCGCTCGTAGCCGATGTCGAGGTCAGCACCCAGCGAAATTAGTGGTTGCGGCATAAGGTGTGCTGCAGATTATGCACTGCTATTGCTAGTTCGTGCGCCCTACCTGTGGTTTTAGTTTTACTCTGATTTGTGCGCCCGCAGTAGTCGTGCTTCAGTTCAGTATACTTTCCTAATTGCAGGCTTGCAGCATCTTATTTTAGATGATCGCAGCATGTTTCAAACACACTAGCAAGCAACAGTGCAACTGTGCAAGTGCAACACTCAAATTCATCAACCAACATGTGTTCACCGTTGGTTTTATCAGGCTTCAATGCGTCCTTTTTCACTTCTGTTCGCACAAATGCAGAGCATGCGATGCGTGCTTCTCTGCTAATACTGTTACCCTTCATGTACACTGACAAAGCTGCCTTGCCATGAGATACGAGGCCCTGCTGCTTCGAGACACTAAATACTGCAATGACCTCCACTTGCAAGTGTCCCGTCAGGAGTGGTTAACTTTCGCAAAGGATTCTCTTGATAATGGCTTCTACACCATTGCCTCCAAGGTAGTTTTATTCAGCTGTAACCTTTGTTGTAGGTAATGCCCCCTTTACTGTTCTTATTGATTGGCATGTTTGCACTTAAGCTATTAGGTTCAATGGTGTGAAGAACACAACCCAATAGTAATCTGGAAGTTTGAAGCACAAGCTTACTGTAGTTCGTTTAACCTGAAGATCCAACAAATGTATCGAAGCCTTTCTCTCTTACCTGCTTGCCTGCTTTACATTGTTATTTCCCTTTAGTTACTAGTTTTAGGTCATTCCATGTGCTGGAAAGTTTAATGCTCTTGTGTAAGTTTTTTTATGCCACTCTGATAATCAAACTGCTGGTATGATATAATTAAATACTAAAGAAAAAAAAGTCTCAATCAATTCAGAAATAATTGTTGAAATAACTCTATCAGGAAATACTACTTCGAATTCATATTTTCTCTAATGTGTGAATGATTCTTGTCATTTAAATGGACAAGTATCCTGAGGTAAGTGATGAAGGTCGCTTGATGACTGTACTCTGTATTGCTACTAATAGACTAATGTTTATAGTTGTACATCTGAGCACAAATAAATAGAGTACTATGGCTTACATTATATAATAACTAATTCAGGCTTTTGCAAATGCTCTTGCGCACATTCATCCAAGCCACCCAGGGCACTTGGACTCTGCTAATTCCATTGAGGAGAAGGACAAGATCAATGATATAACAGGACTCCAGAACTTGGCCAAGTCATTATCTGCACAGCATTCTGGTGAGTTTTCAATGCCATGGATTGCTTAAATTACATGCAGAGAAACTGATCTTGCCTTAACTTTTAAGTAAAATAAGTGCAGAGAAACTAAACTTGCCTTCATCTTCTGAAGTTGAGTAAATGAAAGAGTGATACATGTTTAATCAACAGAGATCCAATCTGACTGAATGTATGTCTTCATTTATGTTTGAGTAACTAATGGCTTGTTTTTTTTTATTAAACATGCCATCTATTATCTGGGAGATTTGGGGACCTATTGTGACACCAAATCTTCTCTTGTATCTTCCAACTGTTTAAGCATATTTTCGATATAGCTTTCTGATGCCATTTACTTCTGCTGTGACAGTTCAGACACAGTCTGCTGAATACATGAAAAGGAGAGGTTCAGGTGTTCACGAGAAGTACAATTTGCAATCAGGAAAACCAAAGTTAACAGGAAGTTCAATGTTTAGGATAGGGATTAAAACAAGGAACAAAAAGAAATTGCTTCGTAGCCAGGAAAGGAACTTGGGAGATTTGAAGCAATCTTAACGTGGCATCTTCCACAAGACCGAGAGGAATGTTGTAAAAAGGTGAGCTTTATGCCTTAATTTACTTATTTCTTTCGAAGTTACCACCAATGCATATGCACTTCAATCTCTTAAATGCCTAGATCAACATCTAAAGTACCAGCTCAAATTAAAATCTGCAGTGTCAATTACATTAATACTATTATTGAAATATTGGGTATGTGGGAATGGAATTGGCAGCATGTGCATGCCAGCCGTCCTCGTTTTCTTAAGTAGTCCAGAACCTCTGTTCATGAGCTCTCCAAAACAGAACAGTATTTTTCAGCTTAGTTTTGTGGCATTGGACCCCTGAAATAAATAAGAAAACCGTGACTAGATCATCATGTCTTGTTTCATCAGCTCAAAAAGTTTAATTAAAAGTCAATTGCATAGAAATAAGATGCTTACATGGAATCATGTCATTTGTCATTGGCATATTTACTACAAAGGTTTGCTGATTACATTACTACAATCCTTAACCACATATTGCAGCGTGGTTGCCTACTCTGCTCAATCTGGGAAGTGGTGCTAGCTGTGCACAGTTGTGCTTACTATATTTGGAAAACGTTGATTTGCTTTATCTACATGCAGTTCAATTAGGTGAGAATTTATGCAGTGGAGGCATGAAGTGGAGTTATGGATGGGTGAGTCTTTGATTCAACATTAAGAAAAAGACTTCGAAGAGTACTTGCATCCTTTGGTATCATACTCACTGTCGTGCTGGGCGACATGTAAGAGCAGAGAAGCCGTGTCTTGTAAACTGTCGGCGTAAACATCTATTTACGTTTTTCCAATTTAAAGTCTCGAGAATATGTTGCTGATGGCCAATTGAGTGTTGTAAGAGAGCACATAAGTGCTGAACCTTTGTCTGGACCGAACAATCTTAAGAAAAGTAAAAAAAGCCAAAGGTTTAGGGTTTTTACCCCGCGGCGTCTTCATCACTGACTACTCTTGTGTGTGCTCACGTCGACGGCGATCGTCGGCGGCCAAGGATGTGACAAGTGGTATCAGAGACACTCTATCCTCGGTGTGGGTGACGGGCACAACGCTCTTCCTCATCGCTTCTTACCCACACATCCGACGCATTCATCGGCGGTTCTACCGGTCCGACGTCCTACCACCTCCCCACCTCCTCCATCACCGCCGTCCGCCAGGTTTCTCTCCGAGTTCTGCTCTTCCTCTCGAGTCTGAAGTGCTCGATCCCGTCACTTGATCTACAGTTTCGTAATTCCGGTGAGCTGGTTGATCAGCAAGGAACACGCTTGCATGCTGGTGTTCAACGCGAGGTCCCGGAGTAGAGGTCCCTCCTTTGGGTTGAGTTGGGTCATGTGACGGTTTTGGTGTTGGCTACCTGCCCTTCCCTCTCCACTCCTCCGTAAACTCCATCACTTCCACTAAATCCTTCTACTTCTCAGATTACACCTAGTGGTAGGGATCTGGTCCATCTGGTCACCACGGCTCCACTTCCAAACCATAGGGAAATCAGACCTTAGCTTTTGATGGACACCATGGCACGAAGTGCAGACGATGAGAAGCGCTTTATGGACTGGACGGTCATGGAGCAATTTGATTACGTTATTCACCGAGTCAATGATATTGGGGAACTTCAGTGAGCAGATGAAAGCCCAGATGGATATCAGGGAGACAATTAACCATGGATAACTATTTTGTCGACCAACACATGATCGCTCAACAAGTCAAAGCCAACCTTGTTCTCTTTCGTTTGGGCACGATTGACAATGAGACAGGTTTGACCATGAGTTGCTTATGATGATGATGATGGGGCATCCATGTTGTTTGAGAGAAGGCATCCTTTCAAAATGTCTTTGCGCAGGATAAAGAAATAGTTAAGGCGAAACTTCCAAGATCGGAAGACACCCACACGTAATGTGGGAAAAGAGACACTTTGCCCAAAGACACCTATGCCCAAAATGCAATTTCCCAAATTTGATGGTACAGATCCTAAGATATGGAAGGATAATTGTCGCTATAAGTTACTTTGATTTGTATGTTGTAATGCCGGAGGGCATGTGGATTACTGTCATGCTCATTTGCATTTTGAGGGTAATGCTGCTAAGTGGTACCAAGCTTACAAACTAAACCATACTTTGTGGATTGGGATCATATTGTCGTTTGTCGTGGAAGAGGAGTTTGGAGCCGATGACTATCGAACAACCATGAATGATTTATTGGATCTCAAGATGATCGGACAATATTGATGAGTACACCACCTAGTTCCGAGGCATTGCGTTCATTGTAACCATGCACAATCCTCATTATGATGACATGTTCTTCACACCTCATTACATCAGAGTCTAAAGGAAGAAATCAGGGGAACAGTAGAGAGTCAAATGCCAACAACAGTGCATCAGGCTTCAATAATTGCTAAGATTCAGCAGGGAGTCCATGACAGAAGCAAGACTAGATATCAAAGAAATGTCAGTCAACCAAAACCCTACATGCCACCAAGAGTTGAACCCAAGCCAGCCACTCCACTCACTTCTCTGTGGAAGGATAGACAATTAAGGGACTACAGGAAGGCAAATGGCTTTTGTTTCAACTGTGGTGACAAATTTGTACCTGGCCACCTAGAAGTATGTCCTAAGAGAAACAAGCCTCAAGTCAATGCATTGGTCATCAATGATCTTGACGGAGAACTATCTGATGAGGTTCTCAACCAACTAGCAGCTGAAGACACACTTCATGAAGACTTTTGCCAGTTGTCACTGCATGCCATTTCCAGTGTCGACAAGACAAGCGGTATCTAGCTGAAAGCCAGAGTCTAGGATAAGGTGATGCTCATCCTTGTGGACAGTGGTAGCTCCCATAGCTTCATTAGCTCTCAGTTTGTTGCTTTGACAAAGTTACCTACAGTGTCCACTCAAGAAAAAAAAGTCAAGCTAGCAAATGGTGAATGGATGACCACCAACAGAAAGGTACAAGGATTGTCATGGTATTGTCAAGGCCATACACTATCTACTGATATGGTGGTCTTGGATATGCATCCATATGATGCCATCCTTGGTTTTGATTGGCTCCAATCCAATAGTCCCATGCAGTGTGACTGTCAACACAAAACACTAGAATTTTGGGTCTAGGGCAAACTTGTCAAGCTAAAAGGAATCACAGACCCTCCTCTACAACTTTAGTCTATCTCAGCCACTAAGGTATTTAACTCCACAAAGGGTAATGACATTTGGGCTTTTGTTCTACTAGACTATGTCCCAGCCACCAATCCAACCAAACCTACTGAAACTTCCCCACCATCTGAAATTCGTGCCATTCTCTCAACCTATAGTGATGTGTTCACTGATCCCAAAACCCTACCACCACAAAGAGCCTATGACCATACCATTCCACTTTTGCCTAGATCTATCCCCATTAATTCTAAACCTTACCACTATTCACCATTACACAAAACTAAGACAGAGAGACAAGTTCAGGAGCTTTTGCAAGCTAGCTTAATAGCTCATAGCCATAGTCCTTTTGCCTCACCAGTCCTTTTGGTCAAAAAGAAGGATGGTACATGAAGATTTTGTGTAGACTATAGAAAATTGAATGACATCACAATCAAAACGCAGGTTTCCCATGCCAGTCATTGAAGAGATCTTAGATGAATTACATGGAGCTAAGTTCTTTACCAAGCTTGATATGAGGTCAGGATATCATCAAGTGAGAATGCATCCAGAGGATGAGTACAAAACTGCATTTAAAACTCATCACAGCCACTATCAGTTCAAGGTGATGTCATTTGGACTCACAAATGCACCTGCTACTTTCCAGTGCATCATGAACCAAATTTTGCAGCCATTTCTCAAGAAATCTGTGTTGGTCTTCTTAGATGACATACTAATCTTTAGTGCCACTAAGGAAGACCACAAACATCATTTGTAGCAAGTTTTAGCTGAATTGAGAAAACACAAACTCTTCCTCAAAGAGAGCAAATGTTCTTTTGCACAGTCAAGTTTGGAATATTTAGGCCATATTATCTCAGCAGTAGGGGTGTCCACAGATCCAAACAAGATATCAGCTATGCTCCATTGGCCAACTCCTACTTCCTTCACAGAACTTACAGCATTCCTGGGTCTTACAGGTTACTATAGACGGTTTGTAAAAGGTTATGGAGTCCTAACCAAACCACTAACCAACTTGTTGAGACTGAAACAGTCCAATTGGTCTCCTGCAGCCTAGTCAGCATTTGACAGTGTTAAAGTGTCAATGACAAGAACACCGGTCCTGGCACTGCCCAACTTCCAAGAACCCTTTACAATTGAAACAGATGCTTGTCAGGATGGTATTGGGGCTGTGTTGATGCAAAAAGGACAAGCCATTGCTTATCTTAGTAAAGCATTGGGAGAGAAACATAAAGTATTATCCATATATGAAAAAGAGTTCTTGGCTTTGATCATGGCAGTGGAAAGGTGGAGAGCTTATTTGCAAAGACAAGAGTTCATCATAGTGATAGATCACAAATCTCTAGCATATCTCAATGAACAAAATCTACACTCTGAGATGCAGAGGAAAGCAATGACAAGGCTAATGGGACTGCATTTCAAAATTGTATACAGACAAGGCAAAGAAAATGTGGCTGCTGATGCCCTCTCTAGAGTAGCCCATCTTATGGCATTACAAGCTGTGTCTTCAGTACAACCTGCTTGGATACAGGAAGTCCTGAATTCTTATACCACAGACACTCAAGCCCAGCAACTCCTGACAAGGTTAGCCATCTCAAGTCCTGATGCCCAGGGTTACAGTTTGGACAGAGGATTGATAAGGCACCATGGCAAAGTTTGGATTGCTCAAAATGCAGCACTACAAACCAAAATCCTTGCTGCCTGTCATTCCAGTGCTCTTGGAGGCCACTCAGGTATTGCTGCTACATACCAAAGACTTAAAAGGCACTTTGCTTGGAAAGGTATGAAACAAGATGTGGAATCCTTTATCAAACAGTGCTCTGTCTGTCAACAGTCCAAACACTCAAAC